ACTCAAAAGAGACTTGCCAGGGATATGACCTCAGTCCGCCCTCACTCACTCACACATTCACAAGTTCATTCACCCTGCCTGCCTGTACCCTTTTTCCGATCTAAAACTCTTCCTAGCTTCTGGCATTAGTTTCAGGCCCTTGCTCTTGCTACGCACGTTTTTTTCGTGCTCTTGTTTCATAACGCTAGGCATTTTCGCTCATTCCTTCGTTTGTGTCTTCCCACCTACCCCTCCAGTCCGCCTGGCCCTGGCGATTGTGTCCAACTTCGACTCCAGATTGCGCCCAATTTTGAGGGAAATTGAAGGCGAGTCGTCCTTGCGAGTAGCGTGCCGGGGTGCCCCTTCTAAGCAAGTTTAGCAACACTGCTGTGCTGCTCTCCGTCATTCCTTCCCCTCCCTGCCTTCCCCTCCAGTCCGCCTGGCAATTGTCTCCAACTTCGACTCCAGATTGCGCCCGATTCTGAGGGACCTTCAAGTCGACTCCCTGTGAGTTGCTTCTTCCTTCTTGGCAGGTTGCATTGAATGGAACCTTTGCAAGTTTCTCCTCCTTCGCAGCTACTGAGGTGTTACCTTGATGTTGGAAAATGCTTGTTCGAGGTACCCTTTTACTTTTCTTTCCCTTTTTTTTTTTTTTTTTTTTTTTTTTCCTTTCTCTCTTTTTTGCCATTGGTTCTGTTCACTGCCTTGCCCTGTCCCCCACAGGTTTGACGCCATCGTCGTATCAGCGGAAGTTAAATACGAGAAGCCATCACCAGAGATATTCGCCATTGCCCTCGGTAAACAGCTCTCTGTTTCTAGATCGTGGAGGAAGGGAGTTTTGAGTTCTGAGGCGTGTGAAAACGAGAAGCCATCACCAGAGATATTTGCCATTGCCCTCGGTAAACAGCTCGTTCTTTCCGCTTGGTAGAGGGAGGGAGTTTTGAGGTGCCTCAAAATTCGTTTTGCGACCCACGGGTCAAAATTGGGAAAAGGAAGATGTAAAAAAGGGACAGAAACAACCAACCAAACTATTAAAAGAATCGTTTAGAAAAATAACAGAACGATAGGGCACTGGAGGTTGTTGTATATGCTCTGGGTAAACAGCTCTTGCTGTTGACTGCGTACAGGGTGGGAGAAGCCCAAAACAGTGATGTTTCTCAAGTGCTGTGGGGAACAAAAGACCGGTCACACCTTTACATTTGAAACCGTGTCCGCAACACAGTTGTGTCTACTGCCAGCCCTGGCCCCAGCCGTTCTCTCCCCTCCCACCTTCCCAGTTGAGTGGTGCATGTGGGGTATGATGCAACGAGTTATTTTTGGGCACTCCAATTGGGTATTCCCTCCTCTCCTTCTCCCCTTTTTCGACATCCCATCTCCGTTACCCCCCTTCTCATCTGCACCTACCTACAGAGCAATTAGGTGTCACATGCCCCTGTCGAGCGGTGCATGTGGGGGATGATGCGGTTCAGTGAGTTGGAGAAGGGCGCAGGGGGAAAAAGAATTCGGAAATATAATTCCTTCTTTGTCCACACTTCCCTCTCCGAGCCTCTCCCTAACCACAGAGCAACTGGGAGTGTCGTCCCCCAGTCGCGCAGTGCATGTGGGGGATGATGCAGTGAACGACTTACAAGGAGCCATGGATGCAGGCCTGCATGCATGGTGAGACATGCTGGCATGTGAGACAGGTGAATTACTGAAAGGGTGGTCTACATGCCTTCTGTATGATTTTTCCCAGACGAGACAAGTGATGCTTGTTGGAGGGATGATGCAGTGAATGACTTGAAAGGGACCATGGATGGACATTCACTCTCTCACACATTCACGCACTCAAGCATTCACTCACCCCACTCACGCACTCACTCACTCTTGTTCCTGCTTCTCAGCTTCCTCCCCTGTTCCTGCCTTTCCCCTCCCCGCCCCGACTTATTCCACCCTTTTCCCAGCACTATGAGAAGGCGTCCGCATGGAGAGTGGCAGACGGTGCCGTGGATGCTCTCTTGAGACTCAAGCAAGCCAATGGTGAGAGGAGCTAAGGTTGTGAGGTGCATTGTTAAGGTGACGTGTGTGTGTGTGTGTGTGTGAGAGAGAGAGAGAGAGAGAGAGAGAGAGAGAGAGAGAGAGAGAGAGAGAGAGAGAGAGAGAGAGTGAGGTGCATTGTTAAGGTGACGTGTGTGTGAGGTGCCGCAAGGGTCAGCATGGAGGGTGGCAGACTGTTCAGTGGATGCGCTGTTGAGACTCAAGCAAGCCAATGGTGAGCCGAGGTTGGTGTTGTGTGGACCATCCTTGGGTGAGAGGAGAGTGGCGTGGCCCACGGTGAGGCGGCTTGTGACGTCCCTCAAAGGGCGCCCGCATGGAGGGTGGCAGACGATGCAGTGGATGCGCTGTTGAGACTCAAGCAAGCCAATGGTGAGCCGAGGTTGGTGTTGTGTGGACCATCCTTGGGTGAGAGGAGAGTGGCGTGGCCCACGGTGAGGCGGCTTGTGACGTCCCTCAAAGGGCGCCTGCATGGAGGGTGGCAGACGATGCAGTGGATGCGCTGTTGAGACTCAAGCGAGCCAATGGTGAGCCGAGGTTGGTATTGTGTGGACCATCCTTGGGTGAGAGGAGAGTGGCGTGGCCCACGGTGAGGCGGCTTGTGACGTCCCTCAAAGGGCGCCCGCATGGAGGGTGGCAGACGATGCAGTGGATGCGCTGTTGAGACTCAAGCAAGCCAATGGTGAGCCGAGGTTGGTGTTGTGTGGTTGGTGTCAAGCGTTGGTAACAGTTGACAACTTGACACCAAGTGGAGCCGCGTGTGAGCGCAGCTCCAGCCTGGTGCCAATGTTGGGCACATTGGTCGATTTCCCGCGATCAGATTGGTCGCTTTAGCTGACACCAGGAGGACTAGTCCTCTCTGCGTTTTCCGAGTTGGTGTCATGACACTAACCACTCTTGACACTTGCCAGGGATACGACCTAAGTCCGCGTGACCTTTGAGTCGACTCAAAAGAGACTTGCCAGGGATATGACCTCAGTCCGCCCTCACTCACTCACACATTCACAAGTTCATTCACCCTGCCTGCCTGTACCCTTTTTCCGATCTAAAACTCTTCCTAGCTTCTGGCATTAGTTTCAGGCCCTTGCTCTTGCTACGCACGTTTTTTTCGTGCTCTTGTTTCATAACGCTAGGCATTTTCGCTCATTCCTTCGTTTGTGTCTTCCCACCTACCCCTCCAGTCCGCCTGGCCCTGGCGATTGTGTCCAACTTCGACTCCAGATTGCGCCCAATTTTGAGGGAAATTGAAGGCGAGTCGTCCTTGCGAGTAGCGTGCCGGGGTGCCCCTTCTAAGCAAGTTTAGCAACACTGCTGTGCTGCTCTCCGTCATTCCTTCCCCTCCCTGCCTTCCCCTCCAGTCCGCCTGGCAATTGTCTCCAACTTCGACTCCAGATTGCGCCCGATTCTGAGGGACCTTCAAGTCGACTCCCTGTGAGTTGCTTCTTCCTTCTTGGCAGGTTGCATTGAATGGAACCTTTGCAAGTTTCTCCTCCTTCGCAGCTACTGAGGTGTTACCTTGATGTTGGAAAATGCTTGTTCGAGGTACCCTTTTACTTTTCTTTCCCTTTTTTTTTTTTTTTTTTTTTTTTTTCCTTTCTCTCTTTTTTGCCATTGGTTCTGTTCACTGCCTTGCCCTGTCCCCCACAGGTTTGACGCCATCGTCGTATCAGCGGAAGTTAAATACGAGAAGCCATCACCAGAGATATTCGCCATTGCCCTCGGTAAACAGCTCTCTGTTTCTAGATCGTGGAGGAAGGGAGTTTTGAGTTCTGAGGCGTGTGAAAACGAGAAGCCATCACCAGAGATATTTGCCATTGCCCTCGGTAAACAGCTCGTTCTTTCCGCTTGGTAGAGGGAGGGAGTTTTGAGGTGCCTCAAAATTCGTTTTGCGACCCACGGGTCAAAATTGGGAAAAGGAAGATGTAAAAAAGGGACAGAAACAACCAACCAAACTATTAAAAGAATCGTTTAGAAAAATAACAGAACGATAGGGCACTGGAGGTTGTTGTATATGCTCTGGGTAAACAGCTCTTGCTGTTGACTGCGTACAGGGTGGGAGAAGCCCAAAACAGTGATGTTTCTCAAGTGCTGTGGGGAACAAAAGACCGGTCACACCTTTACATTTGAAACCGTGTCCGCAACACAGTTGTGTCTACTGCCAGCCCTGGCCCCAGCCGTTCTCTCCCCTCCCACCTTCCCAGTTGAGTGGTGCATGTGGGGTATGATGCAACGAGTTATTTTTGGGCACTCCAATTGGGTATTCCCTCCTCTCCTTCTCCCCTTTTTCGACATCCCATCTCCGTTACCCCCCTTCTCATCTGCACCTACCTACAGAGCAATTAGGTGTCACATGCCCCTGTCGAGCGGTGCATGTGGGGGATGATGCGATTCAGTGAGTTGGAGAAGGGCGCAGGGGGAAAAAGAATTCGGAAATATAATTCCTTCTTTGTCCACACTTCCCTCTCCGAGCCTCTCCCTAACCACAGAGCAACTGGGAGTGTCGTCCCCCAGTCGCGCAGTGCATGTGGGGGATGATGCAGTGAACGACTTACAAGGAGCCATGGATGCAGGCCTGCATGCATGGTGAGACATGCTGGCATGTGAGACAGGTGAATTACTGAAAGGGTGGTCTACATGCCTTCTGTATGATTTTTCCCAGACGAGACAAGTGATGCTTGTTGGAGGGATGATGCAGTGAATGACTTGAAAGGGACCATGGATGGAGGCCTGCATGCATGGTGAGGTGAGCCGTGCTGACATGTGAGACTGTAGAGAATTTGAGGTCTACACGTATTTTGTATGAGAATGCATACTGTAAGGAGTTTTCCTTGGTGAGTTGTGTGTGTGGGAGAAGATGCAGTAATTGACTTGAAAGGGGCCATGAAATGGCTGCTGACGGCATGCGTGCATGAGATGTGCTTGACTTGTGAGGTTGGTGATTGATTGGACGGTATGGAATGTGGCCTGCGTGCATTTTTGTATGGAGTCTTCCTAGACTAGTTGTGCATGTGGCGGATGATGCAGTGAATGACTTGAAAGGGTCCATGGAAGCTGATTTGCATGCATGGCGAGGCAGGTGGAAGTGAGACACAAGGCATGGTAATGTGCGTGATTTGTTATGTTTGCTTGTTGTTCATGTTTTGTTGCGCGGTTTCTGTCTCTGCGTAGGTTGTGGAAACAGGACGTTAAATCTTTTGATGATATCACACAACGGGTCCTTGGGTTATAGAAGGATGAATATGAGTGGTTATGATCAGTGATGTGTTGACATTTACATTATTATCTTAGACATTATTATGTGGCAATTTGTTTTTTTTTACCATCTGACGGTTCAGACTTCTGCTCGGGGTCTCTATCGCGTACATGACGCATCAAGTTTCTGTTCTTCGCGAGCCAGGGAATTTAGCCACCAACAAGGTCTTCGCATTAGCTACGACTGATGTTCACATATGTTACCATCATGCCACAAGTTTTCGTCGGAGTCTGAGTCCCCAAAGATCCTTCTCGAGTCCACCGAACACAAGTATCCATCTCCTTGCTCCACTGACCTGCCATACTCTCAGCCAGTATTTGGTCCTACTTACGATAATCCTGGCGCTCGCGGCTCGTCGAATCACTCGGCGACATCCCTTCCTCTAGTTATCCTCGCGTGCAGCAAATATCGGTTGTCGCTTGATTCGTGTACATATAGATAGTCGCGGTTAAAGGCACCTGCCACCCGCCATTTATTGATGATTTATTATTATTATTATTGTCAATCTTTCCTAAATCGGCCGTCTCTCGTGTAGCGAAGTAAGCGTCCATCTGCCTGCTGATTTCTTGGACTTCGCCCAATCAATGGCCACAGCGACCTCGTGCCAGTCGTTAATCTGCGGGTTGGGAATCCTCGCGTGCTCGTGTTCCTTCGTCGTTGGCGTGCTGATCGCCGCGAGGGAACCACCAGAGAAGCTCAAGGTATCACCTTCGTGTCCTGACGCGCCATAAAATTAGCTTAGCCTACGTAATTAAAGCTGTCTCACAGCTTTGACAGGTATCAAGGTTCCAATTTTGAGCCCCGCGTGTGAAGAGTTCGTGTTCTGAGGCATCCTTGCAAGTGGTTACGTTCTCTCCGCTATTATCCACCCTCCTCATCCATCCTCCTCCCAGTCTTTGTCGTCTCCGCAGGTTACGTCTTTTCACTAAACAACAACCACCACCTCCATCCCTCTTCGCCCGTCTCCACCCCTCCCCACCGCTCTCCACTCCCCGCTTCCAGATCGACAAATACGTCCCTGACGTCGAATCCCCTTATCGTCCGTTCTTCAAGCCGCCGTCTCTCCTCCACGCATCCAACAACCCTTCTTCCAGCTCCAAGTCTCTCAGCCTCTTCAGCAGCTTAAAGCCCACGGAAGTGTTCGCTGAGACGCAGCCTCCAGAGCTTCAACACATGGGGGAGGAAAAGAAGGAGAAGATTCCGAGAAGCTGGCTGGGACGAGCAGGGGAAGGCCGGAGGATTGGGAGAGGCGACAAGGGAGGGAGGGGAGGTAGAATTATTCGTGGTGACAACGGTGGTTCTTTCAGCAGCGGCGGCTCCTTTCGCAGCGATTCTGAGAATCCTCAAAAGAATCTTACAGGTCGTCCAAACAGCCCCAATCAAGACCAGTCTGTGGAAAGATACCCCCGGAACAATTCCCAAGGGTACACCCAAGGGTATCCCCAAGGGCATTCCCAAGGGTATTCTCAAGGTTATCTTCAAGGGTATCCCCAAGGGTATTCCCAAGGGTATCCGCATGGTAATGTTAACGGGTACTCGCAAAGGGGTGACTACGGGCAGGGTGTATACTCATGGCCTGAGACGCCTTCGCGGCCTACCACCCCTTCCCACCCATCCTCACCGCACTCATCGTTCCCCGTACACCCTTCCCCTCCCTCGCACCTCCGATCAGACCCACACCAATGGGGAGGCCCGTCTCTCCCCTCCCATCTTAACTCCCCACGCACTCCCTCTTACCACTCTCAACCGTCTCACCCCTCTCACCTTACTCTCTCCTCCTATCCTTCCTACCCACCTCACCCTTCCACCCCTTCTCACCTTAATTCCAATCCCCCTTCCCCATGGGGTCCTTATTCCCCCCACCCTCCATCCCCATCCATGCGTCCTCATGCCTACACACCCCCAAACCACCACCATCACCACCCATCCACGCCCTCTCACCCCTCCTCCACGCCGCATTACCTCTCCCACATGCCCCATCCCTCTCAACACCCACCTTACCATCCGCAACACCATCAGTCATATCAATCACCCAGGTACTCTCACCAACCCTACACAAGACCACCCAACTACCAGGGTTATTCGAACCATCCAGGTTCTGTAGCAGCAGGGGTAGGGGGTCCTCCTTTTGCCAGTCACCCAGGCACTCCCAGGACTCCAGGTTGATTATAGAGGCACTGCAAAGTTGTAACAGCAGGAGTTGGGGGTCCTCCTCCCTTTGCCCGTCGCCCTAGCACTCCCAGGACTCCAGGGTGAACTAATATGGACATAGTTGAACCTGGAATTCTATTACGGACTCCCTGACTCCATTACAAAGTACGGCCAGAGAGCAGCCTAACGAGCAGCAGGAGGGAGAGCAGATGGAGGGGTTGCTCTGGGGATTGTGGAGAGCCTCCTATGGTTGTGCTGGTGCTTACTCCGGTCGCTGTTCGTGCTGTCGAGAGTAGCGTATCGTCCTGTGTTACCGTAGCACTAGCCTAAACCTTGTGCTCAGTGATGGTTTTAAGTGGAATAGAAGAAGGCTTGTGAAGGCAGACAAGACACCAAGCTCGCTACTTTGCCTGTTACGATACAATGACTAGACTTGGGCAAAACATGCTTTACAATGCAGCAGTGTCATTTACAGTGCAACGTTTTCATTTACTCATGTTAAGTCACAAGCGAGCTGCCTCTAGCATGAAATCACGAGTGAGTGCAGCAAATGTCGCCATGCGCTCGCGAGTGAAGAGGGGCGTGACGAACACAAAGCTCAGCCGGAGAATGCCTTCCTGCAAGGTGGGGATTTGTTAGGGAGAGTGTTATGGCTACATGTTTAAGACATCTACGTAGTGCATACATTTTTAATGCAGCTGTTTGGACAAGTACTTTGGGACGAAAGAAAATCTGGCAGCGTGCTCAGCAGGCATGTTTCACAAGATGCTCTCAATATAAAGGTTTGTTTGGGTGAATGAATGTGTAACTCACCGAAAGAGTATCCGGAATGGCAATGGCAGGTCCGACCCCATGCGCAGACACGACAGGGCCAAGCACTTGCTCGAGTTGTACCGGCTCCGACCCCATGCCTGTTAAGTGAGTTGCCTCGGCCCGAGCCTCCACATCAGCTTCAGCGTCTGGTTTGGATAGCTGCCAATCGACCTTGAGGGGTGCAAGCATCCCGGCTGTGATGAAGCAGGTTCGGAGGGAGTGGTCCGGGGAGAGGCTCGGCATCTTCATAGCCTGGAATGGAAAGCAAGAACGGAAAAGAGAGCAGCAAGCAGAAACCAAAGGAACTGACAAAGGAACCAAAGGAGATGGCCAAAATCGGTTGATAACAGTGTGATCACAGGGTGCTTGCTGACATGGCATGTCTTTTGAGGCGCCTCAAAAGTCGGTTGATAACAGTAGGTGCTTGCTGACATGGAATGTCTTTTGAGGCGCCTCAAAAATGGGTTGATAACAGCATCACAAGGTGCTTGCTGACATGGCATGTCTGTGCACTGGTCCAGAAAACCTGGAAACCTGAAACTTTGTAATGATAAGAAAAGCGGCTTCCAGTGTGTAGGTGTGAAAGCTCTCCCTTCACCCCTTCATGAATAGTGTCGTGTGCCATTGTAACGAGGTGACTTTTGAGTCGACTCAAAACTCTCCCTTCACCCCTTCATAAATACCTGTCTGTGAACTTCCAGCAGTTGACTTGTGATTTTATTGAGTTGTGACCCATGCATCCTTCCAGATGTAACCCATGAATTGTTGCAGTTGCTGCTGCAGCGCTGAGCAGCACCAACCGAACAAGACTGAGGCTGAATCCACATTTTTCATCTTTCTCAGGCTCAGTGGATCCGTGAGTCTAAAAAACGTGGATTCAGCCGAGTACTTGCTTATCAATCTGTTCATATTTATATCCATTTTTAGGACAACCAGAAACTGTTTTCCTCGTTGTTTTTCCTTACGTACCGTGGAGAAGAGCAGCTCAAGAACTGGCATGTCTGTAAACTGCTGCTGCCTCTGCAGCGCTGACTCAGCATGGGCGCTGATTGACGTGGCAACGTCCCAGAGGGGCAACTTCTCGGAAACCTCCTGCTTAAGAGGCAGCATTGACATGTACTCGCCCAAGGCCGTCTGGGGAAGGGGCGGGTCGAGAATCGTGCGGCAACCAATGGCACTGGAGAGGGGCGGGTGGGGAAGGATGGGGAAGGGTGGGGAAGGATGGGGAAGGGTGGGGAAGGGTGGGGAAGGGTGGGAGAAACGGAAGGGAAACGAATTGCTGAGCGTTACTGAAGAGGCAGCAGTGGCATGTAGTCGCCCAAAGCGGTCTGGGGAAGGGGCGGGTCCAGTATTGTCCGGCAACCAATGGCGCTGGAGAGGGTAGGGTGGGGAGGGGGGGAAAGCGGGGGAGGTGTGAGGGAAACGAATGCTGAGAGTCACTGAAAGGCAGCATGGACATAAACTCGCCCAAAGGGAGAAATCGGGAAAAGGGGGATACGAGGGTAAGAGGAGGAAAGTGAAAAAAGAGGGAATAGTAGGGGAAGAGAGCGGAGTGCCTGCTTGAGCAGCAGCATTGACATTCACTCGTCCAATCATTGCTTCGGTTCACTATCATTGTATTGATCTTCTTCTTGCTTTGATAAAGCAGTTGCGTCTATCATTGCGCATTTTTTCAACCATTTCTTCCATCAGATAACTGCTTCCGTACAATTGCTGCCACTTCGATCATTGCATCTCACCTTCCCAGGCTGAAAATCTCAGTTCTGCCGCCCAGTTGCTTCATCCGGGCGGCAGCTTTGAGCCCTGCTGCGCATTCCAGGGAGAACAAGGAGCACCCGTGCGACTCCGCTGCGGCCAGAAGGGCAGCCGTTTCTGTCGTTTTGCAACAATGGAGGGTGGACGTCGGAAACAGGAGGGGATGAGAAACCAGGTGAATTTAGGGACTTTATAAGTGGGAGGGACATGTTTATTCCGAAACTTCAGTTTTTTTGTTTGACATGATTCAATGACAGGGAGGGTTTGGGGAGGGGACAAATTTCAGTGGGGATTGAGAGCAGCTTACCTTCTTTAGTGAATGTGACTGTAACGAATCGCGTCGTAAACGTGTTCTTCCTCGAGTCAGCTCGGCCGTGCTCGAAAGGAAGGTGCGAGGAAATGAGGGCGTTGCGCACGTAACCCACAGCGTTGAAGGCTTGCGCGAATGTGCCTTTAACGGATGTGCTTTTAGCGGAGAGGGCCTTTGGAAGGAGCGCAGCGAGGGGAGGAGGAAGGGAGGAAGCGGTTGTCTGATCTTCAGAGGAAGAGAGGGAGGAGGAGGAGGAAGGGGAGGAGGAGGAAGGAGAGGAGGTAGGGGAAGAGGAGGAAGAGGAGAATGGGGAGGATGACGAGCCGCGGATCAGACGTTTCTTCACGCGTCGCAGTTCTTCCAGAAATTCCGCCGCGATGGGCGGCGCCGAATGCTCGTCCAGCGCGGCGATGTGCGAGCGGAGCGCGACGAGCGTGGACGAATGGGACGCGTACACGTGGACCTGGAACACGTCAACACACGCCTCGCCCTTATCTCCATTGCTCGTAGTAGTTTTAGGTTGATCCTGGCCGTCGATCATGGGCGTGTTTAGCTCAATCTCGACCACACAATGCAGCAATCCTTTCTGACAATCCGAATCGTCCGACGTTGCCACGTCAGCAGTGTCACGCTCGCGCACGGTGATTGGTTGGGGAGGCCGACACACGTGGAGCTCGGGCCGGTGGGCCTTGGGCGGCTTGATTATCCGGGCGGAAAGGACGGGGTGCCGGGCAGACAAAGTTTCGATGGCTGCCCGAACCTGCGTGGGAAGGAAGGGGGATAGTGTGCGGATGTAAGAATGACAGAATTGGGAATGGCGGAATGGGAGATGGCGGGAATGATGCGCGGAATGGGGAACGTGGAATGACGGGAGGAATGCGGAAAGATGGAGCGGAAACTTATAGCACGCAGATGCTTACCTCGTCGATGCTGACGTGGCCGGAGATTTGCAACCCCACAACACAGACGCCAGTGCCGCCGTGCATTGCGCGCCACCACAGCTCCTCGTCGCCGGTCAGCGGCCGACTAATTCTTGCCGGTCCGTCAACTCCACATCCCTGCCGGCCGCATGCCGGCAGAGCAGTGGCTGCCGCGCTGGCGCCGCCCCATAACCTTGAGATTGTCGAGTTTTTTGCGGCGGCGCGAAACTCAGTCTGGGATTGTTCTGACGGAGTAGAAGGAAAAGCGTTGGACACATGATGGTCTAAATCGGAGGATTCGGGATTGACGGACCTGTTCTCCTTCTGCAATGGCGTTTCATGCGAATGGGATGGCGCAGACAGGTCGAAAGGGGAGGCATTTTTTACAGAGCAAGGATGGGTCCAGGAGCGGTCTGGCGTTAAAGGTGAAGTCGGTGATAAGCGACTCGAGTCCATGGCGGCTTGTAGAGTCGAAACGGCACAGGATGCGATAGCTACCAACGAAGGTCCTAGTTGAGGCAATAGACAAGGTGTGCGTTAATCAACTGAAGTCGGAGAAGTGATACGGAGAGTCTGAGACGACCTGCGAAAGTGACGGAACAGGTGATAGGAGAAACTGCTGTGCAAAAAATATCCATGAGTAAGTCAGGGACTGGCAAGCGTCATCCAATTTCAGTTGGTTCTCATTTCTTTCGTAGCTACAAAACCAGATTCCCGTGCGTCAGCTAGTTCAGTACGGTCAATAACGGTCTGACAGGCTGATACGTGGTGTATCTGGGTACTGCTTTGTTCTGCACAAAGTCTGCCCACATGAATGAAACACCGTTTCCCGAGGCGCACAGTTGTCGACGTGGTCTTGACATGGGAGCCTTTCTGTCGTCACGACTCGATAAATCACGTGGGAATACTCGATACTAACAGCTAGCGGTTTACTCAGCAACTCAGAAAATGACGCGCCGTCCCTCGAGCTGGATTCGACCAGTACGAAAAGGCATTTTCGGACAGCCAGGCGACGAAACGAGCTTCTCATTGGTTACAACCTTTTGCTGGCAGCCCGTTGCTACGCTGGGACGAGCGATCAGTAGTGATTGGGGAGGGCGATGACGGTCAGAAGTGCTTGGTCGTTGCGCACTGCTCAGCTACAGTAACAGCATCAGCAAGGTGATTTTCATATCGGGAATAACTACGTAACTCAGGAATGACTATAAATAAAGCAAGCACTAGAGCTCTATCAAGCCCATATTATGTGCACAAATAACCAATCTAAGCGGTACGGTGCAGTGCAAATTGGTACCCAGATTGCTAGGTCTAATGCGGTGGAGCATGGTATCTCACACATCGGTACGCAGGGGTGACTGTGATGCTGGAAATTTACCCGGAAACTTGATATCCTTGGTTACAGACTTCAGTACGTGGTTGAAGAACAGTGAAGTCAAAACAGAATCTCCCTTTCAGTTTACCTGCAAGTCTGATGTGTGTGATCCTTAGCTTTGATGGGTAATGGAAGCAGGAGCGGGAGATGGTAGACCCATTCAGCAACCCAACGGGCACTCGTGGATCCATTCCATGGCAAAGGAAAATTAGGCTGTTTTTTCGAGACAGCATGAGGCACTACCATACCGTGAAGTGGCACTTTTGTTGATGATCGAAGTTGACTGAACCATTATTAACTAGGCTTCTTCTCAAGTACATTGCTGGTCCGGCAGGTAATAAACCTCGCACTAATCTAACATGCATCTACAAACACTTTCTAGCTAAGAGTAAATTTATTGTGCGGAGCTCGCACAAGTAGCCGGCTCCCCCGTTGCTGCTGTGACTTTTGAAGGAGCCACCGCCTATCACACGTCCTCCCGAGGTGACTTTTGAATCGACTCAAATTTCACCATAATCGCATCCTCCCGCCGCGCTATCTTCTCTCGCCGGACGGCACAGCGCCTCCGTACGTTTCACACACGCCTGCGACGCACTTGGCCCCGCCGAGGCACACTTGGTTGCACTTGCCGCAGTTATTCGGGTCGGTCTTCGTGTCGGTGCAGTTGCCGTGGCAGCACTCCAGCGAGCCGCTGCACGGGGTCATGCACGAGCCGCAGTGGAAGTTGTCGAATTGCAAATTGCGGCAGGCGCGCCTGGAGGAAACGCACGGGGGGGACGAAACAAACGGTTGAGAGCGGTAAGGAGGTGATGCGGATGAAATAGAAACAAGAGTTCGATTCGAGACAGAAATGATGTGTTTACAGCAAAGATCCGGAGGAGAAAGGTTCAAGTGTGCCGCACTGAAGTTGAGAACGACTGTATAGGGGAAATGTAAGAATTCTTTATCGTTGCATTACTTTGTAGAAGAATAATCTTACCCGCAGCAGGTGTCGAAGTTCTCGGCAGTCCCCTTCCAGGCGTCGCACACCGATTGGTTCCCGAGGCACAGCTGACCGGGCTTCAAGTGGTGGCCCGTCCCGAACGGGTGGTGTCCGATCATCTTGCCCACATTCTCCCCGACCGCGTGTCCGCCCTTGCCCGCGCCGTGGTGCCCCACCGCCGCGTCGTGGTGCCCCACGGCCCTCGCGTGGTGACCCGTCCCCGCGCCGTGGTGCCCCACGGCGCTCGCGTGGTGACCCTTCCCCGCGCCGTGGTGCCCCACGCCCGCGGGATGTTTTCCAGCGGCGCGAGTCGTCGCGATGCGCGTGTTCGCGAGGTCCTGCAGGAGGCGCGAGTTGTGGTGGCGGCCGGCAGTTGCGGCGCCGGATGTGGGCGAGTCGTGGCCGATCATCGTGCCGTGGAGAATCCGTCGGACGGCTGAGGTGGTCGACGCGAGCAGCGAGGAGAGATGCGATTGGGTGGAGGTTGACGGAGCCGCGTTAGCGGAGTTTTTTTCCGTCAATCCGCGGATGGGGTGCGATGGCTTGTCGCCGAGACGGATTTTCACCCTGAAGAGGCCCTTTCGAGGCTTATTCTCAAAATGCGGGGCGAGGTCTTCCGCTGCAAAGGCGGTGGATATCGAGAGAAAGGCGAGTAGGAGCACGAAAGTGATCCGGTAGGCTTTTGACGCCGCCATTTCCGACTGATGACTCTGTTTGACGCTGAGGCGTCGAAGCTGAGAACACAGCGACGATGGGGATCAGCGGCCGGGGTGGAAAACTGCAGTTGGGAGTGGGAGAAGCGCCTAGTGGTGACTGAGAGCTAATGCAGAGAACAGGCTCGAGAGAAGTGAGTTGAAATCTGCTGCTTCTGTGAGAGGCAAGTTGAGATTGATGGGGAAAGCAGCGAGATTCTCCGAATTTGAACATGAAGGGGCTGGAAATTCGCGGCGCGGGATGGGAAGGAGGAGGTGAAAATTGGTCACAAAATTGCCTTCACCGCGCGGAAGTCGCAGAGCGCAATTTTGTAAACGGCTGGCGACATATTTTATATGATGGCGGTCTCGTCGCGGCTCGTTCTTTGGAGTGCATGCGAATTTTAGTTTAGCGTTGTGATTCATGTATCCGGCTTGCGACTCGAAAACATTTCGCGGGCATGGAAAGGAATTTGATGGGGGGACAATTTGACGGTTGGTCGGTAGGGGTTGTGTGATAAACGGCAAGTCAACGTCGAACCCCGACTTACACAACGAAGTCAACGTCGAATTTGCAGGTTCGGGAAACCCCAGGAGGAGGCTCGGTGGGGAAATCGAAAACCAATCGCATCGAAAACTCGCTCAAAATTCTGGACCAATCGCGTGAAAGTGATGACAGTTTCACGCCCGACTCGGTAATTCTGGGTGTGGCCTTTAAAGCCCAAGACCTGAATTACAAAAAAAAAGGGCAAAGTGTGCACAGTTTGCCTACCGAACCCAGAGTTGACCTCCCGAGCCAAAATGGTTACCTGAAAACGTCGCATGCCAAAAAGGCTGCGTCGTAGATCAGAACACGAAGACCTAGCGAGAGACCCAAGCACCCCTTCCTGAGCGGAGGTGGTGTGCGGCGATAGGCCTGTGCACAGTTTGCCTAGAAATTGGTAATTCAGGAACGTGCGGGAGGCTACTACGCCGGACGCCAGTTCAGTCAGATGGTAAATTCCTACCTGCAGCCCCGTTGCAACACGAGAGAAACGCCAATAGGGCAGCGTGAAAGGCGTGTCGCGCATATTACGATAGGCCGCGCAAAACTATGTTAGTTGGACAACCTCGCTTGTCCCCTCACATCGTCCTCAGCCTTGACGCACCGCCACCCTCGCGACCCCCGTGTCCCCGTCGCCATCACCACTCCCATCGCTTCCTCGCACAGGCCGTCGGGCCCCATTCCGACGCCCCGTCCACCACTCCGCGACCAGCCACTTTCTCCGTAAGTCGTGTCCCCGCCACTCCCACTATCCTGACTTGCACGCCCACGTTTCTCCTCCCCGCGCGCGCTCCTACCCCGAACCAGCGCGGCATCCTCTTTCCACCCCGCGCGCGCTCTTCCCGCCTCCCGCGCGGCATCCTCTTGCCTCCCCGCGCGCGCATTTGCTGCCTCCCCGGCGGTCTCCTCTCACCATCCCTAGCGTGCGGCACGCGCCTTTATAGCGCGCGCGCCTGTTGCCTCCCCGCATGGCCTCCCCTCAGCATCCCGCGCGTGCTCCTCGACTACTCCAACTCGCGTGAGCCTCTCGCCTTAGCGCGCGCTTCACTTGCCTCCATGCGCGGGCTCCTCTCACCTCCCCGCTCGTCCTCCTCTCGCCGCCTCACGCGTGCATCTCTCGCCTCCCCGCGCGTGCATCTCTCGCCTCCCCGCGCGTGCTTCTCCCTCCACCCCGCGCGCGCCCCTCTGGCCTCCCCGCGCAGCATCCTCTCACCTCCCCGCACGTGCGACACTCGCCTCCCCTCGCGAGCTCCTCTCTCCTCACCTCCAATGCTTGCTCCCCTCCCCTCCCCGCGCATGCTCCTTTCTCCTCACCTCCCCACGTGTGCGACTCTCTGCTCACCCTGCGTGCGGCTCTCGCCTCCCCGCACGTGCTTCCCCCTCCTCACCTTGCGTGCTTCTCTCGCCTCCCCGCGCGTGCTCCTCACTCCTCACCCTGCGTGCTCCTCTCGCCTCCCCGCAAGTGCCCCTCTCTCCTCACCCTGCGTGCTCCTCTCGCCTCAACGCACGTGCTCCTCTCTCCTCACCAAAGGGCGTCCTCAAGCCTCCCCGCGCGTGCTCCTCTCTCCTCCCCGCGCGTGATCCTCTCTCCTCACCGTGCGCCTCTCTCCTCACCGTGCGAGCGCCTCTCTCCTGACCTTGCGTGCTCCTCTGCTCCTCTGTTCCCCCTCTCCCCCTCTTTTTCTGCCCTGCTCCACTTTTCCCCCCTGCTCCTCTTTCGCTCTCTGCTTCTCTTTCCCCCCTCTGCTTCTCTTGTCCCCCTCCACTCATCCTTGCCCCCTCGCTCCCTTCCATCCCACTCAACTGCCTCCCCTCGCGTGCTCCTCTCGCCTTTATAGCGAAATGAGGGTCTCGCCTCATTTCGTTGCCTCCCCACACCATCCCGCATGAGCGGCTCCTGCCACCCCTCGCGTTCTCCTCTCTGTTCACCCACTCGTTCTCGTCTCGCCTCCCCGCGCATGCTCCTCTTTCCACGCCTTGCGCGCTCCTCTCGCCACCCCTCGCGTGCTCCTCTCGCCACCCCTCGCGTGCTCCTCTCGCCACCCCTCGCGTCCTCCTCTCGCCTTTATAGCGAAATGAGGGTCTTGCCTCATTTCGTGGCCTCCACCCATCATCCCGCATGTGCTCCTCCTGCCACCCCTCGCGTTCATCTCTCTGTTCCCCTACTCGTTCTCCTCTCGCATCCCCGCGCATGCTCCTCTCTCCTCACCTTGCGCGCTCCTCTCGCCACCCCTCGCGTGCTCCTATCACCTCCCCTCGCCATCTCCCCTCGGACAGGTGGGGTGCTCCTCTCTCCTCACCTCCCGTGCTCCCCTCTGGCAGGTGGGGTGCTCCTCTCTCCTCACCTCCCGTGCTCCACTCTGACAGGGCAGGGTGCTCCTCTCTCCTCACCTCCCGTGCTCCCCTCTGACAGGGCATGGTGCTCCTCTCCTCTCGCCTCCCGTGCTCCACTCTGGAATGTGGGACGCTCCTCTCTCCTCACCTCCCGTGCTCCCCTCTGACAGGGCAGGGTGCTCCTCTCTCCTCACCTCCCGTGCTCCACTCGGACAGGGCAAGGTGCTCCTCTCTCCTCACCTCCCGTGCCCCACTCTGACAGTGCAGGGTGCTTCCGGACCTGTTGTTTAGTGCCTGACCTGCCCACCCTACCCTACACAGCCAACACAATTCAATGACCTGCGTAATCCTCTGTTCCCCCCCCCCCTCCCCCCTCCCAACCCATTCACTCCCTAACCCCTCCCTCTCCCTTGTTGTTCTCTGCCTGATGTTCCCTTTTCTCACCCTCTAAACCAGTCCACCTCATCAGCCATGTCTTCATGGAGACGTACTCCTCGGAGACGGCTGACGCTTGGATTCAGGATTGGGGAGGAGGGTTCCGAGGATGATGAGGAGGAGAGGGGTCGGCGATGTGGAGAATCCCTGACGAGATTGATTTTGGGATGAGGTCAAATGATGCTAGGTCAATTGTCAATGTGGCCACGCAAGAGTCTGGAATTTACTGATTGTTAGCAAGGGAGGGATGGTTATCGGGTACGATACACCCTGTACATGTGTTCCTTTTTTTACACAGACTGCAATAGTTTGACATGTGGGTGGCTGACCATCCAGCTATGATGGATTGATCAATGAAGAAGCCCTAGGTATGTTTTTTGATGAGGAAGGACATGTTTCACTTCTCAGCTTCTAGCCATCGGGGAGCGCGTTGCGTCATTTGCCTCCACAACTTGTGAAAAAAACGGCATGCTCACGTGCACGGTATTAGTGCGAGACAAGCACACGCTTAGAGTTACACGTGAACACGTGTAGGATGAGTGATGAATGGGGCTGATGGTGACTTGGCTGATGTCCAACGCTGCTTGCCCTAGCCCTTGCGGATCTGAGCACAAAGAGAGGCGGGAGGGTCGAGACAGGTGGAGAAACAAGTACACAAAAAGTGGAGAGGTGGAGACAGGTACTACGGAAACAAGATTACAAAAAGAGGTGCATAGTGTATGTATCAGGCCAGACAGTACACTTGGGAGTGTGTCTCAGTGTAGCGCATGTGGGGCGGACAGAGCAGCCACGGCGAGCGGAACGTGCACTACGGACAGCATGAGCAATGCAGAGCAGACAGTGCAATGACTCACCTCCCGTGTGAGGTCTCGGCCACTCTCACCAGAGATATGCAGCATGCTCTCCGTTGTGGTCATGCAGGGGGGGATAGGAATGTGGGACAGGAGAGAGGATGGGACAGGCAAGGGAGGGGAACGGGACTGAACCAGTATTGGGAGCTGGACAAGGGGAAGGGGATGGGGCGGGGGGCGGGACGGGAAAAAGGGGGAGAGGGAATGGGTGAGAGGGGAGACGGTAGTGGGGGAGGGTGGCCCCTTCACTCAAGAACGAAGAACGCCCCTCAAACCCGTCCCAAGCCTGTATGAGCACCATGGAGGCATACGAGGACGGCCGTGAGGATGGTAGCACGTACCTGGCTCAGGAAGTTCAGGCTCATGCACGTGGGGCGATGGTTGGCGATCAGGGTGGCTGAGATGCCCGCAGGTTAGTGGTGTTGCTGGCCGAAAGGTGGCTGCGTGCTGGAATGAGGAGGCAAGGACAGAGGGTTGAAGGAGGAAAGATTGGAATGGAGGAATCAGTTTTAAGGAGCGACAGGTAGGGAAATGAGGAACGACTGGAAGGGAAATGAGGGCGGATGGGAGGAAGGGAGGATGAGAGGAAAGGAGGATGTGGGGAAGGGGGGATGAGAGGAATGGAGGAGGAGAGGAAGGGAGGATGAGAGAAAGGGAGGATGAGGAGAGAGGATAAGAGGAAGGGCGGATGGGACGAAGGGAGGATGAGAGCAGGAGGGGATGAGAGGAAGGGAGGATGCGAGGAAGGGCGGATGAGAGGAAGGGAGGATGCTAGGAAGGGTGGACGAGAGGAAGGTTGGATGAGAGGAAGGGCGGATGAGGGGGTGGGAGGACGAGAA